TAATCAATCTATGATAGTTAATCCTGGGCCTATTACTTGCATGCATTTTAGTTGTCCAATAATGAGAAGATACAAGCATTGCAGAGAATGAGTAAAATGAAAGATCTTGAGATTGAGGATTTAAAAGCTGCACTTAGAAAGAAGGCATTGGACCAAAATTCAGCTAGCCCCCAAGCAATGACAGGTAAAGATTATTATATTGCCCCTTATTAATTTTGAACAATCAACCTATTATAGGTCAAATTGAGTGGCACAGTAGTGAGGTTCAGCTCACTTCTCCATCAGAACAACAGTGCTCAGAAGTCCTTGCAAAACTGCAGGATAAGCATCAACAGATTTATCTTAGAGAGTCATCTTCTAGCATTGCTGAGTTGCTAATCCCACTTTTGATGCAGAAGAAAACTGTCTGATGTCTTTTTGTTTTTTCAACTCCACTAAAACATGATTTTATTTGCTCCTTATCATCAGAAATTTTGAATAACAATACAATAGAGAGCCTATGGCTGACTGAAAACACTATCAGTGATGATGGTGTTATCACACTTGCTCAGTCACTAAAGCATAATACTCATCTTCGTTACTTATCACTTGGTTACAATCCTGGCATTACTTCAGCCTGTGCACAGTCTCTACCTGAACTTTTAACTATCAATCGCTCACTCACTGTCCTTTATCTTTCTCACACTAAAATTGATACTGAGGGAGTATTGCAATTGGTAATGTCTCTGAAGATTAACAATACGCTTGGAAAACTCACATTGGATGCGAAGCACAAACAAGCATGCTCTGATCAATTCATTTCTAAAATGAATAGACTAGACTTTTCGTATAAAGATGCTGATGGAACTCATTTTTAATTTTGATATGATTTTGTAGTACCTACTGATGTATAGTTGCATGCTGGCAACTTGTATTTTTTATAGTCAAACCTTTGACATGTGGTTGATTGAAATTGGGTGTGGCATTTTATTTTTAGGCGCAGCGCGCAGGCAATAATCAATGTGGCAATAAATAAAGCAAATGGCTCAACTCAAACATGTCAAAGAAAGATCTTTCAACGCTTTCTTGTCTTCTACTCCTCTTCTTCCTGAGCTAGTAGAGCACATTGATGTTGGTACTAAGTGGTATCTCTTGGGTGCACTGCTACACGTTGATGATAAGAGATTGGATGGTATTGAACAGCTGCCAGAACATGATGATACAAGCAAGACATTAAAGATGTTTCAACACTGGCTGACCACTACTCCTACTGCTAGTAGGAGACAAGTACTGGAAGCATTGAGAAAGAGAGTAGTTAATGAGCATACAGTTGCTGATAAATATGAAAAATATTTAAAGGAGCTTCATGATACTACTTGTAAGCCTACTTGCTATTAACTCATCATACACTCTTCTCTCTATCATATTATTGTTTTTTTTTAGATACACCACCATCTACTGAAGCAGTTTCTATTCTTCAAAGGAATATTCAATCATTGAATGAAGCTCTTGTCTCTCCTGTACAAGTGTCTCAACTGTTATACTGTAAGAGATGTATAAGTGAAGCTAC